GGCTGGAAAGCTGCCTGGTGGAAAAGGACCTGGGGGTGTTGGTTGACAGCTGGCTGAACATGAGCCAGCAGTGTGCCCAGGTGGCCAAGAAGGCCAACAGCATCCTGGCATGTATTAGGAATAGTTTTATGAGCAGGATTAGGGAAGTGATCGTCCCCCTGTACTTAGCACTGCTGAGGCCGTACCTCGAGTACTGTGTTCAGTTTTGGGCCCCTCACTAGAAAAAAGACATTGAGATTCTGGAGCGAGCCCAGAGAAGGGCAACAAAGCTAGTAAGGGGTCCAGAGAACAAGTCTTATGAGTGGCTGAAGGAACTGGGGTTGTTTAGCCTGGAGAAAAGGAGGCTGAGGGGAGACCGTATTGCTCTCTACAACTACCTGAAAGGAGGTTGTAGGGAGGTGGGGGTCGACCTCTTCTCTCTTGTAATAAGTGATAGGACAGGAGGAAATGGCCTCAAGTTGTGCCACAGGAGGTTTCGATTGGATATTAGGAAAAAGTTCTTCACAGAATGGGTTATCAAGCATTGGAACAGGCTGCCCAGGGAAGTGGTGGAATCGCCATCCCTGGAGGTATTTAAAATATGGGTAGATGTGGTACTTGGGGACATGGTTTAGTGGTCATTTTCTTGCAGTGTTAGGTTGATGGTTGGACTCTATGATCTTAAAGGTCCGTTCCAACCTTGACGATTCTATAATTCATGAGTATTCATTGCTTAGGTGATGAGACCTGTGGTGCGAGGAGTAACATGCTCCATTCCTACAGGATAGGTATTGTAAAAGTGTGAAGGGAGCAAGTGTTGAGCTAGATGGAGGAGAAATGTTAAAGGTATATTAATTCATACTAGCATGTTACAGGTTTTAACTTGGATTCCTGAAGCTGTTGTTAATATGAAAATGGAGGAAAAAATTGTTAGCGTTATTCTGCATACTGAGAAACAGCTGAGGCTGGTCATAGTTTTTACCGCATAATTTGCTATTTATATTTGGCATGTCATTCAAAGTCTGTGCATTGGCAAATACCATTCATTCTAGAGTATGCTCCTAGAAAACATCAGTGATGAATGAGGTTTTGCAAACAAGACTTTCCTGGGACTCGATGATGGCTGCTTAGCTAGATACCCTAAGCTGACATTTCATTCTGATTTTCTTCCTCTTCAACCTTGGCACACTGTCTTTCTGCCATGGTGTTTCTTAACTACATCTGTTCTATGAAACTTACGTATATTGTATGAAAGATTAGGAAATTCTGTGATCACACAGCTCAGGCAAGTATCTGAAAATTCTTTATTTGTTGCTTTCCCCATCCCCAACTCTTCAGCTACAGATACTATTAATAATGTGGAATATATCTGTCTTTTGATTAGAAGCTTATAGAAACATTGCAAGTGAGAGCATTTTTGAACCTCTGTGCCTGCTGGAATTGGAGGAGATAAAATGAGCATTTCCCCAATATGAATGTTTACTTAAAACTCTGAGGACAACAAGTCTGAAGAAGAGGTTGCCACGCTAAAAAATTTTTCAGGAAGGCTCAAAACTAAAAGCCAAGATGTGAAATTATGTTCACTTAAAAGTGGATGGTGGGTCTAGAAGAGCTTTTTAGTCATTGAGACATACTGACTCTTCCTTCCACTATATCCTTATCTCTGTAGCCATATGTAGTGTGAATGCACATTAACTTGTTAAATACGGCATACATTTTTTTCTAGATTGAAGAGGAAGCAAACGGAGATTTGCTTGATATAGAAATCAATGTATCGGACCCAGAGAAAGTTGGTAAGTTACTTGAACCTAGTAAGTCATATGTTAGGCTATTTTACCTCTTAGAGACTATTCTGAGATTTTAGCATAATTCCTTATTCAGTTATCTTTTGATGGGTTTTAGTATGTAAATAAAAAGCTATTTAATGTGTAGTTTGGGAAAAAAAAAGTGTGTGGAGGGATTAAAGTAACTTGCCTTAGGATAAGTATTTTAATTTTCTTACAGGGGATGGCATGAATGCTTATATGGCATACAGAGTGACAACAAAGGTAACCAGTGCAACAAATATATTTGCAAATAACTCTATATCGCAGCTGAGTAGATGCATCAGTAAGTTATAACTAAAATTACTTTTTTTTCTTTAGACATCCCTTTCCATGTTTCACAAAAATGAATTCTCTGTTAAAAGAAGATTCAGCGATTTCCTTGGCTTGCACAGCAAATTAGCAACAAAGTACATGCATATTGGTTACATTGTGCCTCCCGCTCCAGAAAAAAGTATTGTAGGTAAGTCTACTTTCTGTAAGGTTGAATCTATGTATGTGATTTCAGTACTAACTATTATAAATGAAAAGTTTTAATACCAATTCTGCTTGTAAAATAAATATACATGGAACTTGGTAAAATGGTGGGACTTACTGTTATGTAAGCAAGCTCTGGGTGTGACTTAAGGTCCTAGTGTAGAGACTTTCTTTGACTACAGGTAAGTTGGGAAAACTCACAGACTATGTAGGACCTTTCTCCAAAGAGCACAAAGCTCCCACTTTCAACTTGAACTGCCTACCCTTCAGTGCTTGGGTGGTATTTAGCCCCATCTAAAAGTGTATAGTCCACATGCTTATAATTTTGGAGAGAAGATGGAAAAATATAGTGTTCTAGGCCGATTTAAAATGAGGCATCTTAAAGCAGAGAGCTGGCAAAACAGTTGAAAGTAGATGACATGCATTTACACTACACACATGTTGATTTTATTTTACTTTGTAAGTCTGAAGTGTTAATATGAAATGTCCTACTGTTGTGGTTTAACCCTAGTAGGCAGCTAAGCACCACACAGCTGCTTGCTCGCTCACCCTGCTGAGAGAATTGGAAGGGTTAGAGTAAGAAAACTTGTGGGTTGAGATGATAGACACTTTAACAAGAAAAAAATGAAGGGGGGAAAAAAATCCCACAAAACCCAACACATAAATAACAACAAAACCAAGATAAACAAGTGATGCAAAAAAACCCCAAATTGCTCACTACCAGCTGACCAATGCCAAGCCAGTCCCAGAGCAATGGCAGCCCTGGCAACACACACCCCACCTCTGCCCCAGTTTTTATTGCCGAGAATGATGTCATATGGTATAGAATATCCCTTTGGTCAGTTGGGGTCAGCTGTCCTGGCTGTGTCCCCTCCCAGCCTACTTGCTGGTGGGGCAGCGTGAGAAACAGAGAAGTTCTTGACGCTGTGTAAGCACTGCTTGTCAATAGCTAAATCATCAATGTGTTATCAACACTGTTTTCATCACTAATTCAAAACATAGCCCCATATGAGCTGCTATGAAGAAAATTAACTCCATTCCAGCCAGACCCAGTACAATCTCCACCCCTTATTCCATACTGTTTACATTATGCTCAGGTCCCACGCTATCCCATCCATCATTAACTACCACCACCCTTCCCGTCCTTTGATATATACACAGATATCATTCCCTTAGTCTATGGGCCATCCCTGTAAAATGTCCATAAAATGCCAATAAAAATGTCTGTTGAGTTCATTTACTCTGTGACTTTGGGGTTCATCTGTTTTGGTGGTCACTGAGGACAGGAGGGATGGTGTGTTGTGTTGGATTGTTGTCTAATGAATCCAGCTCAGGTTGCATCACCGCTGCACTTGCCTGGTTCCTCATGAGATTAATTCTTCATTGGTTCAGGTGACTCCTGCTGTAATACCTTTGATGTATGGCAGCCACAGCAGCATTATAAAACACTGGCATCATACAGCAAGCACACAATGGAGGGATCTTCCAAGAGGCCAGGCAGGGTAGCTGTTTAATCTTCTTTGTACTCAAGGCAGCTATACCAAAAGTCCACCTTGAAGTATCCCCTCCTGAGGTAGTCTATGCCAAGGATGCATGTACCATCTTGCCCAGTCACAATAGGATGCTTGTACCACTCATTCCCAGTTAGGCTTACTTTAGCTTCCAACACAGACAGCTGTTTGGATCCCCCTGTCACTCCAGAAATACAGATGGGTTGTGCTCCTTTGTAACCTGATGGCATGAGGGTACACTGTGCACTGGTGTCAACTACAGCCTTATACTCCTTTGGGTCTGGTGCGCCAGGCTATTGAACTCGCAATGTCCAGTAAAGCCAGTTGTTGCTTTCTTCCGCCTGGCTGGAGGCAGGGCCCATTTATTCCTGGTTGGAGTATTTATTATTTGATTTTTGTAACTGCAATCCAGAAATCCCTTCATCAGGGTCAGAAGTAAGATCAGCCCTTCTACTCTGCCCAATAGAAACTGGAGCAGTAATTTTCCTGTATGGACACCTTTTGGCTGTTGTGGGTAAAACAGACTTGACTTGAGGAATTTATTAATTTAAACCACCGAATTACTGATAGGGGGGGGGGGTAAGAAGGAAAATGCTTTTCCTCCCCCTTTCCCAGGCTCAACTTCAGTCCAGACACCTCTCGTCCCCACTTCGTAGTCTCCACTCCCCTTGTTATCAGCGCATCTTACACTCAGTCCCTTCACAGGGAGGCCATAGGTGGTGCAGTAGGTTGGGGTCAGGACATAGTGGTTTCTTTCTTCCACTCACAGAATGGTAGGGGTTAGAAGGGACCTTTGGAGATCATCTAGTCCATTCTCTTTTCCCTTGATATTTACTGCCATTTCTTAAATATGTTTTCATAGAGGCATCACAAACTTCTCTGGCTCAGCTTTGGCCTGTCATGGGTCCATTGCTAAGCCAGCTGGAACCAGCTGTGACCGGTGGATGGTAGCCTCTGACTTCGTCCCACAGAGATCACCCCTGCAGGGCCTGCCTTCCCCCCCCCTTGTCCTTTATACCCAATACATTAATTAAAAGAAACCATAAAAAACAACCCAAACAAAAAAAATCCCACACACTTATTTTTAGAAATTAAAAAATACTAGAATAAAAATATTAGTTATGAGCATAACAATCAATAGACTTAAAGCAGAGCAAGAATTTTAATTTTAGTTTATTAGAGTAATCGTAATCTTCTGCACACAAGTGACTACTAAGACTGTGACTTTTATTTAGTTTAATTTGCATTTATGATAACAAACTAATTTTTAATAACTTTAATCACAATAGATATATTACAGGAAATTGCATATTTCATAGATCTGTTTCTGACAAAAGTGTGCAGCATGTGTGTCATGGTTTGGCCTTAGCCAGCAACAAAGAACCACGCAGCCATTTGCACAACTCCCATAGACGTGGAAAAAGAAATTGACAGGGCAAAACTTGTGGGTTAAAATAATGCAATTTAACAGAACAGCAAAAGGAAAGATGAAAATGTGATTGCAGTACCGCGTGAGGCGCACTGACCGCACCACCGCAGCCCACCCCCAAGTGGCGACTGCTCTCCTTGCCCCTGCTAGCTCCTCTTATAGCTTGGGCATGGGTCACGGTGGGATGGAATACTTGCCCCCTGCCGGCTCCTTGGGAAATTAACCCCATCCCTGCCGGAACCAGGACATTATCCACCCCTTATTCCATACCATCTGTGTCATGCCCAGATCTTACAGTTCCCATAGTCTGTGGGCCATCCCTCCAAAATGTCCATTG